AGGGATTCAGCAGTGGCACCAACCAGACGGTGTCTGTATTCATATGGAAGAGACTTTATGAACAATTTCACTTGTTCATGATCAGTGAGTTGTGGGGTAACCTGGGCGGCCAAGTTTCTCCATCTGGTGGCATACTCTTTGAAGGACTCACTCTTCTTCTTCTCAGCGCGTTCCAGATCGTCACGAGTAAAGGTGACGTCGAGGTTGAATTGATAATGCTTGAGGAATGCATCAGCGGCATCATCCCAAGACTTAAAAGTATCCACATCCTTCGACATATACCATGTCAGGGCTGGCCCGGTCAAACTCGCTTGAAAGGTCTGAATCATGAGGGGTTCGTTGTCAACGTACTGGGTCATCCGCACATGATACATGTGCAAATGATGTCTGGGGCATGAGGTACCGTCATACTTCTCGAATTCCGGCATCTTGAATTTTTCTGGTACTTTGACCCGTTTGTATATTGACAGGTCAAGTGGGACAAGATTCTCGGGCCTTGTAGCGTTTCAAGATCTCCTCGACCTTTGCAAGGCGTTTGTCCCGTTCACATCATCGGTACGCTTCAAGTTCAGGCTTCCCGACAAGCAAGGGGAAGCGGATCGTCCTCTAGCGGGGGCATGTTGCTATCGCTGGCGGAGGTCTTGTCTTTTCCAGTAGACGGTGGTGGTAACACCACTTTAATTGCTGCAGGCGTGGGTGTGAGTTTGCCCTGAATGGATTCCACCTGTTTTGTGAGATTTTGGATCACATTGAAGACCATCTTTATCTCGTCCTCTATGTTGTTGAGACGGACGTTTTCTTCGGCCATTTTTTGTAGCTACCTGCGAAAACGCTGATATGAGTGAGTATAATGCCCAATAAAGAATCATTCTATTACTTAGTCATATTATTATTGCATATTTTCTTTATTTGCAAGGAAAAAATAAGTAAAAAGGGTTTTTATTAATATTAACATTACAGGCGGCGTCCCCGGGGTTCGAACCCCGGTCGCCTCGGACCGTGACGCTACATCCCCGGATACCACTGGGCCGAAGGCCGCGATGGTGTCATTAAGGGGCAAAAATTTTTATTTAAAGCATAAAAAAAACGGCCCGAGTTATATTAACATTTGTACAACCCATAAACATTTTTACAGGAGATAACCAAAATCCCTGAACATAATTACTAGGAAATATAAAAGACAGAGTCTTTTAACAAAAGGGTGCCCTTCCCAGATACTCATTTTATAAACGATGGGGAAATCACGGTCTCTCGGAGGCGCTTATTTTTACGGACAAGCTCTGCAATAAGCGTATCCCTGGTATATAGACTGCAATCAACGGGTGGCCTAAGAGTAACAAATCAATTGAATAAGCGTATCCCTGGTATCCGCAATAAGCGTATCCCTGGTATATAGACTGCAATCAACGGGTGGCCTAACAGTAACAAATCAATTGAATAAGTAGGCCGTATATATAAAAAAATGAGAAGGGATAGAATATATACCTTTCCTTGAACCATGGCAATCGCAACAACATGCACATGAGGAGTGAGGTTCGATTTCTATCTACACTGGCTCAGCAACATGAAGTTAAAAGGGTGCCTGACCGTTGCAGTCTCGCGTTGGTGTCAAGTCCTTTTAACCTCGGCCAAATCGAAAGGAATATCTTATAGTCACGCGAATATCGGCTAAAGATACTTCTTTACGATTTTTAGAAATAAATTTCGGGGAAAAGAAAGGCAACCTCTACATCGCGGGCTCGCGTTCGAGGTCGTATCTTTCTTAACACCATCCTAACATGCCCTATCGCGGCCCAGGTCCGGCAGCGTGGTTGTGTGTGCAACGGTGTAGTGCTAAATCATTAAAGCATGCACAACAAATTATAAACAATCAATTCGAACCTGCAAGACAAATAACACCTTAATGTCAGGATCATACCTGGAGTCCTTGCTGCCAAACAAAAATTATTTTGAACAAGATAAAAAATTTTGGCTTAAGTCCACTTTAAAAAAAATGCAAGTCCCCAGCGGAGTCGCCAGTCTGTCGCGACCGAACTCCCGAGCCCTTTTTTAAACAACATGCAAAAAAAAAGGGGGGCTCGCCTGGTACGTGCTAAGTCTAGGTTCGGGACTTAACTCGGGCTCTCCCAAGCCCATACCATATCGCGACTTAGGGTTTAAGTTTTTAACATGCAAGTGGTTTATATCGAGGAGTCGCCACTAATCGATTTGGGGTGGGTCGATTAGAAACCCAAATAGGGTGACGGGAGAATCACCCTATTCCTACGAACCAGAGATTAAATGAGTTCGGGGACTTGGTTACACTAGTTGGATAACTAATGCCCTTTCGGTACCATTTTACCCTGTTCATTTCTGAAAACATTTGTCAGGCAATTTGAATTGATTTTAGGACCTTTCTCCTAACATGTGAGGTGATCAAGCGAGTGCATAATCAGAAACGATCAGCAGTCAGGAACACAACAATTCATGCAGCCTAAGGTTCTAACCTTAACTAAGTCAGATGACATTCAAAACACAACTCATGCAATTGTATTAAAAACATGCATAACAATACAACGGTAATAAAAACTAATATGCAAAATACTATCGCGCAACCTCAGGCTTGCCTAATTTAAACAAGACAAAAACTTACAAAATAATATCACATTAGATTAAAACAACAACAATATATCACATAAAAAAAATTTTAAAAAAATAAATAAATAAATAAATAAAACAAAATACGAAATTTTTTTTATAAATAAAATAAAAAAAAAGGAAGGAAAAAGAAAAAAGAAAAAAAATTAATTAATTAATTTTTTTTAAATTTTTTTTAAATTTTTAATTTTTTTTTAAAAAAATAAAAATAAATAAATAAATAAAAGCGGAACCGGACCGGGTCGGAACCGACCCGGGTCAACGGACCCGACCCGGGGCGTTGACCCGGGTCGGATCGGCTGAACCGGGTCGGTTGGGCTGACCCGGGTCAACGGATCCGACCCGGTCGTTGACCCGGGTCAACGAATCCGACCCGGTCGTTGACCCGGGTCGGATCGGCTGAACCGGGTCGGTCGAACCGACCCGAGTCAACAGATCCGACCTGGGGCGTTGACCGGGTCGGGTCAACTGAACCGGGTCAGACCGAACCGACGGTCACGGGCGCCGGAGAAAGCAGAAATCGGCCGCTCGCCGGCCTACCCAAGCCAACACCGCCCCCAAATCGGCTTCTGGGAACTTCACCGAGCCTCACCGGCTGCCTGGGGTCACCGTCCGACTGCCGCTCGCCGGCCGGCGAGGTAATTAAAAAACGGCCTCTTTGAGGCATTTTATCAAATAGACGGTGAGCAGCGCAAAAAAGGGGAATCCTGACCTGTTTCGAGGCCTCGCCGTCCTCGAGACACCCTTTCTTACCTTTGACGACGATGCACGGACGGCGGGGGACGGCGGTATGGGCCGGGACTGGCGCGAAACGGCCGGCGCGGGTCCCGGCCAAACCGGGAGCAAAAACAGGGGAAAACAGAGCGGTTCGGGCCGGGGGGAGAGCTCACCGTCGACGGCGCGTCTGGGAGGCTTCCGGCTGTTCGGCGGCGTTGGCGAGGCGACGGGCTTCCTTCTCACGGCCTGAGGACTCTCAGTTCACTCTCTATCTCTCTATTTTCGCTCAATCTCTCCCTCTCCTCCGGTGCTCTGTTTTGGCCGAGAATGACCAATCGGTCGGGGACGTCGGCTCGGTGGATCGTTGGCGACTCTGGCTCGCCGGGGGCACTCCTGCGGCTGTGTTCTTCCACCTGTAAGCCAAAATATCGGAAAATTTTCACCCGATCTCTCTCTTTCTCTCGGCTCACGCTCTCTCTCCCTCTGCTCTATTTTTTCTTGAAAATGGCCGACCGGGGCTGCTTCCGGGGGTTGCCGGTCGGCTTGCTGGTGACGACGAGACCGGCTGGGACCTGCAAGACCCTCCGAGGCTTCTCGGTTTCTCTCTGATTCTCTCCGGCCTCTTTCGGACTCTCTCTCCGTTTCTCTCGAAATTCGGCTGACCGAGAAAAACCGCCCCTCTCTCTCTCTCTTCTGGCCTGTATAGGCCGACGACCACGCTCACCCTCTTCTCCGTTGCGTCTGCTGACGACGGCCTGCACCGGCCTACCTGCCCCGCGACTTTCGCGGCCATGGCAGGCCGGTGCAGAGCAGAGCAAAAGGAGGGGGGCCGGTGCAGAGAGGGTGCAGAGAGACGGGCCGAGAGGGAGATAGAGACTGGGAAATGGGGAATACGGGACTGGCCTTAATGGCCAGTCCCTGTGGCGTGCTCGCTTGGGCCTCCTCTGACCAGATGACGACGATGAGGAGCGGCGCCGCCGTGCGTCACGCTTCGGTCGCGCACAGGGGAGAACAGGGGAGGAGAGAGCGACCGGCGCAGGGGGAAGGAAGGAAGGAAGAAGGGCTGGGCCGGGCCAGGCCCAGCTGCGGGGGGGGAAAGAAGAAAAGAAAAGGAAAGCGGGCCGGGCCCGCGCGAAGGGAAAAAAGAAAAGAAAAAGGGCCGGGCCCGGGGGAAAAAGGAAAAAAGAAATGGGCCGGGTCGGCCCAGCTCCGACCCGGCCCGACTCGAATTTTTTTTTTTTTAAATTTTTGTTTAAAATTTAAGAAAATATGCTCTAATAGGCCCTATTAATGCACATATGCCTAATGTCTACATGCAATGCATTTAAATAGAAATATTTTTTTGTTTTAGGAATTAAAGAAAATTAATTCCTAAATTTTGTGTAATTAATTTTGGGCAAATTAAAAATAGGTGTCAACAGTTTTAAAACTACCGGACACACTATCAACATAAAATGGCCTGCTATTCACTAGTGAACCTAATAAAATTTCTATTACCCAACTTATATCTAGCATTTCGTTCGTCGATGAAAGTTTTCTGTCCTTGTTTGCTTGGATAACACTGAGGGTGTTGTTCATAAAAAGTTCCTATTATCAAACTTACACTTTGAAGAATAGAAAAAGAGAGAGGAAAAAAGAAACCAAACCTGCAATAACTGCTTCGCAAGGTCGATAGAAATCACTCCAGCGCTGCAACCCATCCCACCAAGATTGTAGCTTGTCACATTCCCTCTGAGCTTGTAGTGGTTCACGATCATCGACGAAAGCGATGGCGTCGGATTGAACAAGCTACTGTTCACGACGAGGATCCCTATGTCCTTGGCCCTGACCCCAGTCTTGGCCAGCAGCTGGTCGACTGCCACGAACATGACGGCCTCAGCCTCCGCCCGTGCTTCTGCCATGCACAGGTTCGGTGGAACCCGGAGCACGGCATCAGGCAAGTAAGTCTGCTGCCCAAGGCTGGACCGCTTGAGAATCCGCCGCTGGAAAGCGAGGTTCTCCTCGGTGAAGGTGGTCGTGAGCTCTGGCCGCTCCATGAAGGTCTCGCGGGTGCATATCCAGGCCGGGTCGGGCTTGTAGCAGGCGAAGTCGACGAGGTAGACTTTTCTGGGTCGGGTCATGAAGTAGAGAGTGACCAGGAACACCATGAGGGTCGAGCAGAGCACGACGGTGACGAGGTTGAACCTGAGTTGGTCTCATAGCTGGGCCACGTCTCGGGCCGTGAGGGTCGAGAGGTGGGCGGAGGAGATGCCGAGGAGTGGCACGAGGAGTAGATGCATGGCTTTGGAGATGAGGTAGTGGTAGCCGAGCTTCACGTACTTGAGCTTCACTGACAAGAGGAAGTTTGGGAGTTTGTGCTTCGATGGTCTGTTCGAGTCATGGCTTCGGGGTTCGACTGAGAAGGGGACTTTCTGATCTGGGTTTTGTCGACTGATCTGTTCTTGTGAGTCGGCCATTTCTGCGGAAAAGACAAGATTTTTGCAGCTTGTGTGTCTTCTCCAGAGGGTTTCCCGAAGAATAGCGAAGGACGAGAAGTTGGTGCTTCAAAAGCAAACGGAGGGAAATGGGAGAGAGAGAGAGAGAGAGAGTGAGAGTCTTAGCAGTGCATGGGGAAGATTGGGGAGTGTTTGGGGTGGATTTAAAGAGAGTGCGTGGGGAGCGTACAGGAGTTATTAATACCCGTATTGCTATGATTAATTTAATTATCATGTGATAAAGTGGAAAACGATTTTTTCTTTTATCTTGATAGATCCTCTCGCGAGGGAATCGATTTGATGATTTGGAAACCAATAATTGAGACACAGAAGGTGTGCGAAATCGGATTGAGAACTCTATCGATGGATAAGGTTGCAACGTGTCCCCATTCCGGGAGGACCCTCAATATGGAGAGGCTATCATGGGCTGAAACCTATGTACTCCCGAAATTGTTGTGTACAAGTATACTTGCTATCAAAATACAACGAAAAGAACATGTTGCGGTGAAAATGTGCTGAATACTAATTTAGAAGAAAAATAAATTTGCAAACATGAGTAAAAATTTCTCTCTCGAGTGTATACTGATTAAGGATGAATATGCTATCTATTCTCGATACATATATAGCAAATAAAGCATACCCTAAAGAGAACAAAATATCAAATGCCTGATTAAATATAGCAGCAAATCAAAATTCCTTTTTGTTAAAAAATTCCCTAAACTCGATAATCTAGACAAAGAAGATAACGAAAGTATATTTAAATTTTTATACTAGAATATCCATCATACCACGATATCTTCTTGAAAACTCTTGCCTAAATCTTCATCAAATTCCCTTGTCCCGAGCTCGTTGACTATGTTTCTAGCTTATCTAAACGCCCCAGAAAATTTCTCGGCAATCACGTTCGCATTAGAATATATTAATATTTGAAAACTCTTCTTTTCATGAGAAAATTGATTTAATAATGAAGGTGTTAAGGTGTATATAAAAAATGAAGCTCGCAGGTGGGTGAAAGGTATATAAGAAGTCCAACCTCTAAGTCGCATATACCAACTTAAAACTAAGTATTTATTAAAGTTTGACACGAAATTGACTTTATATTTTAACCATATCCACTACATATTAAAATTATATTTTAACAGTGCCAGAAGAAATTATAACAGGTTTTGTTAACAAATTATTCAAGTGTAGCAATTAAAAATACTACAAATGATAAAACCGCATATATACACATTTTGAAAATTTGAAACAAACACGTTTCAAGAAATCACCTGCTTCAAATATAAAAATTTACATTTCAAAAGTACAATCAAAGATTGTTAACATGTGCCCAGGGAAACTTATTGACATTTTTCAATTTCATAGTAAATTCTCATATAATTTTTTTTTATTGTCATGTAATTCACAAAAAGTAGAGTATATTTTAGAGGGAGAGAGAGGATGCAACTACTCCAATCGACAATTAATTGGCCAGACAAGTAGTGGGCATTGAATAGTTTGACAACGGAGGAAACAGCCACGTCATCACTGGTTTGACATGCGGCCGAGTGAGCCAAAGCGTAATAATTTCACGCAAGAGGGGCAGCAGGTCCACGTGTCGATTGGTACCGTAGGAATGCCGAACTCCGAGACCCTTCCTTCCCTCCCAAGTCGGGATCGACTCTTTATGGATGTAAATGATTCGGTTTGGTTCGATTTTCTTGAAAAATCGAATCGCTAGAGTTGTATCTTTGTACCGAATCAAATTTTGCTCGAATTGAAAAATTGATTTTATTCGGTTCGATTCGATTTTCGGTTTTTTTTTTTTTTCGGCTTTTTATTCACAGCTTGGTTTTTCGGTTTTGGGTCCCTCTTCTTCCTCCTCCTCGTCTCCTTCGTCCTCTTCTCCTTCTTCTTCATCGTCATCCTCTTCTTCCCCCTGACTACCATCTTCTTCCTCATCGTCATCTTCGTCGAAATCCTCATCGCCGTCGCTATCGTGGGTGGATCTGGAGCGACTGGGGGCAGCACCGTCGGGGTAAATCTTGGGATCGTGAACGAGCAAGGTGCTGAGCCCATTGTGGAGACGGATAAGTTTATGGAGCCGTCGGTCATTGGGCGACTTGATGACGCCGTCGTCCGGCGAGAATGCAGGAGGGAGCCCCATGGTTCAGCACAGTCAAGGCCTGGTCAGGTCTTCTCTCTTGCTTTGCGTGTGGAGAGGAAGAGAAGCAAAGGGTCTGTCGGGTGAGGGAAGAGGAGGAGAGAGAATGAAGAAGAAAAGGGGAAGAGAGAGAGAGAGAGAGAGCGAGGGATACAGGAAGAGAGAGAATAAAGCAGAAAGGAAGAGAGAGAGGGGGATAGAGGAGAGAGAAAAGTAAGTGAGAGGACGGCTACTGACAGTGAAAGCGAGTAGAGAGAGAGTGTACGCGAAAAGAAAAAAACAATACAAAGTAATAGAGATCCGATCGTATCCGATCCGAATCAAACCGACCTATCAACTAACCAAAGGTTTTTACTTATTATCCTAACCAAAACCGAAATTGAACCGAAAATTCACGAATTTTTGATTCGGCTCGGTTCGATTTCGGCTTCGGCTTCGGTTCGGTTTTTGACACCCTAGGTAGGTGTACCTTGGTTAGGCTGGCCTTCCCAATGATTGAACGAAGAGCCTAAAGCATAATCGATATTTCATTCTACTCTACCGGCCCACATCTTACAAAAAATGTGCTAGATGCTAGTGCGGGTTTCCTTTTCCGTCGAACATTTTGAAGTCTATCCGAGAAAATCCTAACGTATACGGCATGGAATCTATCCAAACCGGAGTTGGTTTGGTAATCATGCACCCTCACCGGTAGGAATGCTACAATGGGGGTACTATGTTGTGGAACGATGCATGATTACCACCCCCATCGAAATTGATTGAGATTAGAAGTTTGATCACGTAAACAATGATGCCTCTCTTGACCGCATCCATCATGTGCTCATGGGTCGTAGTCATGGGACAAGATTGCAAAGTTAGGTTTGGGTAGGGAAAAATTGTAGAATCGATTCTTAACGTTTTGGCCATTGGTCAATTCACGACTCAGCTACTATTTTGATAAATTGAGTCTTTGATAGTTTGCGAAAAGATGTTCGATCGAGTCATAGACTAGATTTCCAATGTTGAAAATCTAATCGATTTTATGGTCCGCGGCTACACGGCATTAGAGAAAGGCTATGCGAGAGACATATGTTAATGTTTAGATTATTAACTATGAAATTACTCCAAAATAAAAATTAGGACATAACTAATTTCCGTGAACAAATGCCAGTTCTTGGACTTGATTAAGAGGTCACTTGATATGATCCTATCATCAACGAATTAGAATTAGGGTTTTTGATTTATCAAAGTAATTAAACACGAGAAAACTTTCTTAAGCCACAATGGGTATCTAGTGTACTCGAGAAGTAAAAAACAATGCTTGTTAGAAAAGAAATTTGTCAAGGATTGTTTTTCCTTTTTCCCTTGATAAGCATCTTTTAGCCCTAAGTAGGATTTTAAAAGGCTTAAAGGAGACAGAAGGAACTTTCCCATACGATGGATTCAGGTAAATCCCTCCTTTATGAATGTAGTTGAACTAAATTATATTGGCATTTAACTCATATCATAATGGGTTGAAATGCAAGCACAAATTATACTCGAACCATCAAATTGCTCATTTTGTTTTTTTTCCAAAGTTCACATCGAAAATTTTAAACATGAAAATTAATAGGGTTACTACTACAAAAAACCCTAAACTGGTACACTTGTGACAGACTTACCATAAACTATTTTTTTGACCACAAAAAACCTCAAACTGGTACATCTGAGACAATTTTATCCCGAACTATTTTTTTGACCACCAAAAACCCCAAACTGGTACACATGTAACAATTTTACCCCAAACTAATTTTTTAATATTGTATTTTATTTTTTTCGAATTTTTTTAGTTTTTCTTTTCTTTTCTTTTTCCTTTCCTTTTTTTTTTTCCTTCAACTTCAACCTCTGGCAGGTCGCCGATCTGGTGACCGGCTAGAGGCGGGGGCAGGTGAGGTCGGCCTCGCCGGCCGCTGGCGAGGTCGACCTCACCGTTGCTGGGCGAGGCCGACCTCGTCGACAACTAGCGAGGTCGGCCTTGCCCCACCCCTAGCGAGATCGGCCTTGCCCACCCCTGGCGACGGCGGGGCCGACCTCGCCGTTGCCGGCGAGGCCGACCTTGCCCACCCCTGGCGAGGTTCGACCTCGCTAGTTGCCAGCGAGGGGTCGTCCTCGCCGTCGCTGGTGAGGTTTGACCTCGTCGCTTCTGGGCGAGGCTGACCTCACTAGTTGTGGCTGGGCCGAGCCTTGCCAACGACGGCGAGGATGACCCCTCGCCGGCAACTGGCGAGGTTGAACCTTGCCAGGAGTTGGGCAAGGCCGACCTCGCCGGCCAGAGGTTGAAGATGAAGGGAAAAAAAAAGAAAAGGAAAGGAAAAAGAAAAGAAAAGAAAAGAAAAACTAAAAAAATTCGAACAAATAAAAAATAATATTAAAATATTAGTTCGGGGTAAAATTGTCATAGGTGTACCAGTTTGGGGTTTTTGTTGGTCAAAAAAATAATTCGGGGTAAAATTATCACTTATGTACCAGTTTGGGGTTTTTTGTGGTCAAAAAAATAGTTTTGAGTAAATCTGTCATAGGTGTACCAGTTTAGGATTTTTCGTGGTATTAACCCAAATTAATATTATGTCCTCTCTCTCCCCCACTCATTTGGCTCATTTATTACACCTCACCTCAGCTGCCAACTTGCCATCACATCCCTCCCATTGTGGTGCTATTTAGCCCCCATGAGTCATCCCCGAAAGGTCGCACTTGTCACCATTTCTCTATCGCTCCCTCCATCAACGAGGTAAAGGGGTTTGTGGTGATTGCGACCGTCACAATTGGCAATGTCCACGACGTTGGCCTTTGAGCTTACGGCTTATGACCCGACGTTGCAAGCTCTAACCCTAGGCCAAGGAGCCCTTACCTGAGAGAGAGAGAGAGAGAGAGAGAGAGAGAGAGAGAGAGAGAGAGAGAGAGAGAGAGAGAGAGAGAGAGAGAGAGAGAGAGAGAGAGAGAGAGAGAGAGAGAGAGAGGTCGCGACCCTCTTCTTTTTTGTCGAAGGAAGGTAATGCCTAAAGATGAGCCAACGGCCCTCAATTAGGCGCAAACTCTTCCAAGTTCTT